AAAGCGGGTGGAAGTGGCGTAGTGGAAAGAGGCCGTTTATAATGGGTCAGACTCCGAATTCTAAATGGAAATTAGCCCTAAAACGCATTTTTTTAATCTTGCCGTTTTTCGATGAAGTTTCGAGAATAGTAGAGCGTTTTGGCTTGCAACGACTAACAAATCAAGTAGAGAAGCGGGGGCAAAAATAGCACGAAATTACTTTTATTTACATCAAACTTAAGATATAATGAATTAGCCATCAAATTAGTGCATTTTTTAAGAATACCAATTTTTAAAGGTAATTTTGGCGATCCGAAAAAATTTTTGGTTAACAGATCCAAAAATAAGTTGCGAAACAATTAAAAATCGGAATCAAAAGCTGCTTGGAAAGGCGGAACAGGAATTCCGGTTAGGCGATATCTAACTCATACGAGAATCTCATGTTTTCATTAAAAATACATCATCTTTAAGCTTCATACAATTTCGCCACATCATACCGAACTCTATTTTCCAAAGAATTCTTCAGGTTTTGACTTTATCAAAAGCCCGGACCCTGATTCATGTTACTGTTCCGAAGGTTTATAAAGCGATGTTTCCAGGCCAAAGGCAGCCCTTTTTCAAATATTTACTACCGCTTGTAATTCGACTGCAGCTGCTGCAATCCGCCAGCCATACAGCCTGCCGGTGGCCTGCCGGTGGCGGTCAGATAAGGCGCGGCTCGCTTTGTCCATTTTTGCCCGCACCCGCCACCAGAGACCAAAAAGTCCCGCCGAACGCAGTAAGAATAATAGTACTCACTTTTGGTTACCAGTGAGGATTTTTGCCTGTTGTTTTGGGCACTTCCCCAATATTTAGCTCGTTTTTCAGCGCCAATTGCGGGAAACCAACCCTGATTTCCGGTTTTGTGAGCTGCCCTGCTTTGAAAAACACAGCTCCTCTAGCTAGATTCTAGTAATTTCAACATTGGTACGCTTATCGTGCTTTAAAATTGCTAAATTGCTTAAGTTTCTCAATAGCGATTTTGCTATCATTTGCAGCTTTTTCCATCTTTACGTTTCTCTATCTCTCTCTCTCTCTGTCTCGCTCTCTCGTTCTCTCTCTTTTTCTTTTTCCCTATCGCTCTCTCTCCCTCTCGTTAAAGTGTCACCGTTTTTACTCGCCATTCCCCATACTTTTCCATTTTCAGAAAATGCAATGGCCAGAGCGAAGTTTTCTAAACATCATTCAACTCGGCATCGGGATGATGCTCGTCTTTTTTGCTTTTATTTCACAAGCTTTTATTGTCGAAACTGTACTCGAAAATCGACATGAGACCGACCGAAGGATAGCCAAACATGCAGGATACTACAGGTAAGATTTTGTCGCCACAAAAAAAATGCTCATCGCCAGGGAGTTCCACTCCCTTTACCCCTTGAATATTTAGCCAGACGATCATCTATTCGACATTTTTGGTTGGGAATCTGTTGGCACCACCGATAATTTCTTTTTCTAGGCGAGTTAATGTCTAATTTAGGCTATGAAATGGTTAAGGAGTCTTAATTTTATCGCCTAACTACGTAATTTTGCCTTGCCAGTTCCTTTTTCAAAATAAATCCGGTTTCCAGGGCGTCGTCTCTCCATCATTTTCGGCAGTTTCCCGTACGTCCTCTACATGGCCGGGTTCCTGTTTTTGAACCCATACTACCTCTACGCTTCCGCGGCCTTTGAAGGCTTCATGGGAGGGTGTGAGCCAGAATCCAGACAAAATGAACCCAGAATTAGTGTTGTGGACGTCGGTGGGGCTTTACGTTGCCGAGAACAGTAATGAGAGGACGATATCGAGGAATAGCAATGTTTTCTGGATGCTCTACATGTCCTGGTAGGTCTCAGCGATTCCAAAACTTTTCATTGCCAAATCGGTTGGCGGTTTGGCAAAAACAGGATAGGTTGCTGCGCGCCTTCTCAAACTATTCTAATTTTCATCTTTAGCATGGTGCTGGGCGGTATCTACCTGCTCGTCGTTTTCGGCCAAAAACCAGACAAAAACATCTCGATGAGCACGACTAGGATCCTGTACGGAACTTTTGCGGCCGTTGCCCTCGTTGGTGTCGTCGTTCTCGGACTTCTCCAGCAGAAATCGACCGGCAAGAAGGCAGCAGCAGTTAGTCACCGGATGGAATTAAGTGGGTTCTGGCCTGAAGCACGTTTGCATTGAATTTATACGACACTCCGATACCAAGCCGAAATTTCTAGTGAAAACCGTCCGGATGCTGGGCACTGTCGACCAGTGGCTGATCGCAATTCCATCGGCTTTTACTGGAATCGAGAATTCGTTCTTTAGCGGTGTCTACTCCACTGCTTTGTCCTTTACAAAAGCGTTTACGATTAATACGAATCAGTTGATGGCGTATAATATCATTGCAACTGGTGTTGGGCAACTGTCAGGTGAGCTCTCTTTCTCTCTCTCGCTCTCTCTCTCTCTCTCTCTCTCTCTCTCTCTCGCTTGAACGTCTAGCTCTAGCTTTTAGGCGGTCTACTATTCGCCCTCCTCGGAAAATGGTCCTCCCGAGTCGGTAGATGGTACACGATGTGGATGGGGACCGCCGCTAGCCTTATTTGTTATGCTCTGGTAGCCTTAAATCTACCAGGCGTTGCTTCTTTCGAGAAAACGTATGATAAGCCGATCTTCGGCTCGCCTAGGTGGGCATCACTTCGTAATAGCACCACAATTGCCCTTATTTAGCATAGCCATAGCCCTAATTTGCGGTGTCTTGCTCGGATTCAGCGATTGCTGTGTCAATACTCAAATTTATGCCCTAATTTCCGTACGGTATCATGGAAGAACAGGACCTGCATTTGCGTTGAGCAAATTTTGGCATGTAAGTTGGCAGTTTCCGATTTTCACCAACTTTTGACAGTAAAGAAGACCAAGGAAAATCGTGGTTTCAGGCCCTGTTCACCGCAATTTGCATGTTCTACGGCAGCGTTGCAAGCTTATATGTCCAATTGGCAATATTGGCAGTTGGAACCGTGATTTCGTCAATATCTTATACAATTGCTGAACGAAAGATGCTGATTTTGAGAAAACGGGCGCCGACAATTGTCATTGATGACTGCATTTATTGAAATTTTGAAAAGCTTCGACCTTAAACAAAGTTGTCGCATAAAACCTGGTTTCTGATTGAACTGTCTAAAAAGCACCTGGGAGCGCAAAATCGAGACGTTCGTCCTGTTTTCAGCGGGTCACCCTGTCAACACCTAGTCCTCGATAGGGGTCGATTTTCGCGCTTCGTAGTGCCTCTCCAGCCGATATGCTGCTCATATTGTTTTTAAAGGTACAAGGGCGATGGATAATCATACAATGCAATTATCAAAACCATGATATGCAGCATAAAAAAAGGTCAGGTAAACAACAAAAAATAGTATGCGAACCAGTACGCGTCGTAAAAATTCTTTGAGCTCGACAAAACTATTCTGCTCGCGACTACATCCTACAACCCAGACCCCAACAACATTCAAAAATTCTGGTTGCTGTGATGAAACTAGCTAGAAAATTGGGGTCGTGTGGATGTAGAACAGGTTTATTCGAAACTACAGCCCACGATCGGACACCAAAAAAATCCAAATATTTGGGTTTCCGGTACGAGAAACTGAAGAAAATTCGCCCCTTTCATGATGTAAGGTGTTTCCATGATCATCTTGTGCTGACTATGATGATGCAAAGGCAAGCCATAAACCTTAATTTGATGATGTAACGATACACAGACCGTTTTCTGCCATTTTGTGCAAATTTGTGGACGTTATCACGTTATGTCCCTGGCGATTTTTCAGCCGAAAATAAAGCCGTAGAATCGAGGCGGCGGGTGGCCACATGGCGGGTCGATTTGATAAACTGGGCTTCACTATTCCCAAGGCGGCCACATCTCAATTTCAATTTTCCGCTTGGCTGCTTTTCACTGACAGTTTTTGGGTGGTTTGACCTTGGTGTGGGTAGCACCGGAGATCCGGGCTCCGCGTAGGGTATATAACGGTTCATGCACCACAAGAAACCGTCAGGGATAATAGTTGATTGATGATAATTGATTTTTATACCTTCACCTGACCCTGATGCTCGATCTATATAAATTTTCTAAACAAAATTATGGCTAATTGTTATGCCTCGTTTTTAGAAGAAAAATACTTCACGATGGTCAAGCAATTTGAAAGGAAGGTGGCTTTGATTACAGGTAGGGATAATCGATTACGATAGGTATTTAGAACCTGTTAATGGGCGTATTTTGTAGTTGGGAGCAGATTAGTGGTACTAGATAGTATGCTAAGATTTATGTTCACCAGGTTCGAGCAACGGCATCGGCCGCGGGATCGCTGTCCATTTTGCCGGGCGAGGAGCGAAGTTGACGATAACCGGAAGAAGTGAAGCGGCTTTGAACGTAGGTTAAATTTAGTAAAACGAAAATTAATACCTATGCAAACCTTAAAATACCATATAGGGGCGGTTTAGGAAACCAAGAAAGAATGCGTGGCAGCTGGCGCCTCGGAAAACGACATCCTCGCGCTGGTCGGAAATTTGGCCGAAGAGGAATTTATGACCAAACTGGTGCACGATACTGTAGAAAAATTCGGAAAACTGGATTTCCTGGTATCTTAATTACGGGTAGTTTTAAATTTTAAACTCCAGATCAATAACGCTGGTGTCACTGATGAGGACATGTGCAACAAGAAGCCTGGCTTCTTGACTCAGGATATGCAGAGCTACGACTATATCTTTCTGATTAACGTGCGATGGTAGGTAAATACATTAAAATGCTTGACAATTAAAATCAAACAAACGACGATTTTAGTTAAATAAAATATTGAAAGCAAGGTGTGGTCGTGATTTAGCGTCGTTTTTCTATCCCGCGAGGCCACTCCCCACCTTGAGAAAACGAAGGGAGCCATCGTGAACATGAGCTCGATTGCCGCCTCGGAAATTCAGGCCGTAAAATGGCATCTTCGAATTTTTAGCGATGCTTGAATTTTAGATCGCCTTTCCCTACTATGGGATGTCAAAATCTGCCTTGGACTCGCTGACCAGAAGCTTGGCCCTGGAGCTGATCCGGAAGGGGATTCGCGTCAATGGGATCAAGTAAGAACTACCCCAAAAAAGCATTGTATCTACCTTCAGGCCTGGGGCGATTAGCTCGAATATTATGCAAAAGCAAGGAGCTACAGATGAGGCTTTGCAGCAGGTTTGAAATAGGCTTTTCACAACTTTTAAAGACCACGACCTATGGAATTTTGAATTAACATTAAATAATTACCGTTAACTCACAAAAACCTCTCCATATGCCTATTAACTTGCCAATAAAATTATGATTTATTGCAGCTAAATTCCGATAAAATAACACTGGTTTTGTAATTTTGCGGTAAACAAGTACAGCATTTTTAGTTGGAAAAGAAAATGTCGAGCAGCTTCGCCCTGATCCCGGCTGGATTCTACGGAAAACCAGAAGACATCGCCCATCTTACCGCCTTCCTCTGTGATAGGTAGGAAATCACTAGACCGACTTTCTCTTTCACCTGCGGAATGATAAGCATCTGCCGAATTTTTTGCTTGTTTGCTTCGTTCGGCCTCGACAGGCTTTTGAATCGGCGAGACAACCGACCAAAGTCTGATCATAAAATTGGCAGAAAATTCAGAAAAATTATGTAGAAACGTTGAAAAATATAGTTTTTAGAGAGCAATCCCGCTACATCATCGGCCAGAGCATTCGCGTTGATGGAGGAACCTCGTTGGTCTGCCCAATGATGCTGGGTGAAGAGATATCGACTGTTCAGAAGCTCGAAACGAACCAATAGGGACCTCAATTCTCGTTTTTAATGAATAAAGGTTTATTCACTGGATTTAAATGATCGCATTTACAGAAAAAAATTTTCCAACATGGTAATTTAGAGAGTAACAGCGCAAAATCCTCCAACAACAAGGACAAAACTGGTTTAGTTATTCCGCAGTTGTTGTTGCATTTTTACAGTAATTTTGGCTTGTTCTGCAACGGCTAGAATTGGTTGTTCGAAAACACTTATAGGACGTCCCTTTTCGGCGTTTTTGCCAATTTGTTGTAAATTTTTGAACAGCCAGCCCTGCGCCGAGCCATTTAAATAGCGCGCGCACGTGCCGGGATGCCTATTTTTCAGATTTGTGAGGACGTTTCTGGATTTCAACATTTTTTTAAAATCATTCCCAGTTTTGTCAATAATCCTAACAATGAGTGCTTTTTTTGAGTTCTCGGCAAAACCTTACAGGACCTCCTCATTCGACAGAGAATTCCATTCTGAACAAGACCCCGTTGTCCTTTTTTGCGGAATGGCTATTCCTGATTTTAAAATAGATTCTCCTCCATTGCCAGGGGACTCTCGTGTAAAGTCAGCAGGTTTCTATAACAAAAAAATCCTAAAAGATCCGTGCTAGCTTTTTTCTGGCTGTCGCTTCGTAAATTTGGTCTCAATTTTGATATTGACCAGTGGCCATATATAGCTGTTTGTATTGGGAACTGGAGACTGACCATCGTCGCTTCACTTTCCACACTTCCAGACAGCTGCAATCAGGCAACAGCTGAAAGGAAAACTTATACCGTTTACAGTAATATGTTTTTTGTCCAGGATGGAATTCCGGTTCGGGACCAAGCCTATCTCGTGCAGAATTTTTTGCTGATCCCGAATCCGATTTCCAAATCTGCAAAATAACTCGGATTCCATTATGAAGCAATTGAGTGTGGTTTTACGCCCCCGCGAAGTGATTGGCCATCCCTTTTTGTTTGACTGTTCTAATTTATCGCGCATACCTTACTTTATTGAGAATTTTTTCTGATTTGAATGGTATATTTCATTAAGACATGGGTGGTGCTACTGGGCCGCTGTTTACAGGTGTGCAAAGTAGGCAGTTTCTCGCCAGGTCCCATACAAAAATTACAGGCCATACCATCTCGTCAAATTTTTCGATTTTCGACAGTTTTGAGTTAAAGAGCTCATCCGATAGAAAAAAATTTTTGAATAAGATGGCGCTATTCTTTTTCGAAAACCAATCAGGAATCTAACTATCTAACTATATATAAAAAAAATAGTGTTTGTGTGTGTATATTTGCATGCAACTTCCGTGAGTATGTACCGCACCTACAGCCTCAGGGGAAGGTTTTGAAGGTATGTATGCTACATCATTAGGTGCGTAAAGGTGCTGAGATGAGTGCACACACATAAAAGTGTAGAAAAATTACTGTTTTCGCTATTAAAATTGATTTTTTGTAAAGATTTCGAAAAACCTCTTTGTTAGGGGCAATTAGCATGCGCCGGAAGTAGGAAGAGCCTATATAAAGGGACAAAGGAACCGTTTTTCACTTTTTTTCATGCTAGAATTCATGAAGAAACATGCAAATTGAGGACTTTCACGGGGCCAGGGTTGAAAAGCCGCGAAGCGGTTTTTCAACCCTGGTATCAAAATAATTGAGCATGAAGTTTGCCAGTTTTTGCTTAAACGGGACTTAAAAAAGACATAACCTTGGAATCCGAGTTGTTTTGCAGATTGGGAAATCGTTCCCGAATGAGATTTCCATCCTGACCGGAAAACACTTTACGGTTAGAGATGATGTAATTCTTGCCACCTTGCTCCCAAATCCCCGAGCGCCGCAATAGCTGTGTTGGGGATAAAATAGTAAATTTGGGTCGGCAGTGACAAGGTGAATACATCCAGAATGCCCCAAAGCACTTGGAATAGTAGGACAAGGGATGAGCAAGAGCATGCGGCTGTGAACTGTAAGCGTACGGATCAAAAAATTCGAGGCGTGGTGTCAAATCTAATTTAAAAATGCTTTAGTTTTTAAATTATCTGAAAACGTACCCATTTCATAAACCCGAGCATCATGCGTTGTTGTTGCGCGGCATCGGCAGATTTCTGAACGGTTTCCGTTCAACTAGACCAAATATCCAGCTGGAAAGTACCGCTTTTTGCTTTCCATGCCATGTAGCCGCTGCGCTATAAATAAAGGTCACGAAGATGACGTGCGGCCGTAGCATCATCCAAACGCCATCGCTTGAACACTGATCCAATGTATCGTTGTTTCTAATGGAAAGTTGGTTGGGGTGGGGGTATCATCAGCCGGTTCCGGACTGTTAGCTCTGAGATTCTTAGCGTGAAGGGAACCAAATTTTCCGAATAATTTTCTTAAATATAAACCATTTTTATAGTAGTTTACAGAGTTTTTAGATATGTGAAGGCTTATTGTAAATTATCAACATTTTCAAAAAGTCTCTTCAAAAGGTCAAAAATGTATGAAAATGGCCGGGGAAAACTCACGGCGCTGTCTCCCAATAGTTGTTTGGGAAATACGCATAACCGCCGTACATTATTTGCCCACGCCGAGCTGCACGAAAAAATCACATATTCACAGAAAAAAAGTACCATTCCACGATGTCCCGTAGCCGATCGTAGTCAGTTGCTGGATAATTGGCAACAGTGTGGAAACGAGGGGCCAACAGATCATGAACCTTTTGAAATGTCGCCCGCATTCGTCATCGAAGGCGATCAGCAAGCCCCCTGACGAGGAGTTTTTTTTAATGAACTCTATTTTGCGCAGAATTTTACGTTGATCCCAGGTAGGTTTTCAAAAGTGCCCACGACAATCTTCAAGAACCTTTCTTCTTTTAAAGGGGGGCTTTCAGTACCTCTGTTTTTCCATGGACCGTGAAAAAATTTGCATAAGAGATGTCTCGGGATTTCAATGCGGCAGGCTCTATATAACCGGAAACGCATGCAAATTTTTTTCACGATTTATGGAATAACGGCGCAGTTGAAAGAGCTTTTAAAAACGGGGCCGGAATCGCCGTATAATTATGAACAAAACAGGCTTCAAGACTCGAACTTCCATCTTGAAACTCCAAGACTACTAAAAACCGGCTCCTTGAAGGGACATTCCGCTCTCGTTGAGAAATATCCTACTATCCTACTATATATAAAAAATAGTTCCTGTGTGTATCTGTGTGCATTTGCATGCAACTTCCGTCAGGTTGTTCTAGCAGTATCTCAATAAGGGAAGTAGCTAAGGGCATGTTTGATATGTCATTAGATGCGTAATGGCCTGAGGATGACTGCAGACCAATAACATTTTCGAAAATGAGCTGTTTTCGACGTTAAAATCAAGTTTTTCTTGAAAAATCGGCCACCCTCTTTGTTAGGAAACAATTTGCATACGCCGGAAGCTGCCGTAGCCTTTCTAATTTTTTCATCGAAAATTGTGGGAATTATGCAAAGTGAAAAATATCATGGGATCAGACGGCGCCAGAGTTGTAAAGTCGCCAATCGGCTTTTCAACCCCGGTAAGAGCTTATATTGGTCAACACTTTAGCTTGCAACGTCAGGGTAGGTGCCACAGGTCGGGCAAAACCGAACCCGGACCACTCGCCCTGGGGCAAGCGCCATAGACCACTCGGCCATGGCAGGGACAGGAGAGGGAAGAGGGCGAGGGGGTATAAAGGGTTTGCGGGGCCGCCGCCGGGCAGCCGGCTTCACGGCGTCCCCCAGGATTTCAGAACGAGAGCGGAATGTACCTTTGAGAGCGTTCTTTACCCACTGCATCTCCGTACATACCGTGAAAACGCGATTCCAAAACGCAACATCCAAAACCATGTGGACACGGCTACGTGTATCGATGTAATGTATAGATTAACAAACATCGGATGGCCGCTTTTTTGGCAATCCCACCTGTAAGGGATGTTCCAGAAATTTCCGGCAGCCCTCGACCTACCTTTTGTTGCATTGGTTTTGGTAGAACCGTATGCATCCTCATATAGTAACCCAATCGCGTATGGGATCAGAAATAGCGACAATCTTCCGAGGATTCGGTGCCGAATAAGAACGGCTAGGAGCAGGAGGATACCCACTAAAGTCTGCAGGCTCCCGACCTGAAAACATTATTTTTAATGATTTTTTTTAATGAATTTTGCTACAGGCTGACTCACCGCCAGGAAGAACGGCTCTAAAATCCGATCGAGCTGCCGATTTATTGCCGAATTGACCCGATACGCCTTCTCGTAGTCTTCCCGAGCGAGCACCCGTCCATCGCGATAGGTCTCGATTATGATATAGATATAGTCGTAGTACTCGGTCGTTGTCTCCAACGTTTTCAGTTCCACGTCCATTTTTGTTAAATTAGCTGCAACCACCCTGGAATCAAGCCAGGGCGTGAGAGTTCCGATTCTGCACAAAACACGACAGTTAAAAGCTGCGAGAACGCCTCGAAATTTCGCAAAATTTTGGTGCTGGCCTCCCGTCATTCATAGTTCGGACAGCAAGTACAACACCGCCGGAGTTTCCTGAATTACAGGTCGTCCGAAACATAATGGGCTTAACTCGTGATTACAGCATTGCCTTGTAGTATGGCCATTATCCTGCAAAATCACCCGCCTTTGACCGGGTTTCCGGTGAGATAAATCACGTGTTGAAGGACGCGCTAAAATTGGGGGTTAGACGAGAGGCCAAAAACCTGGGTAATGGGTCACCTGAATTGTTGTCCTTCGCAAATTCGAGTTAGGGCATTGCACTTGGTAATACCTGACGAGAAGACCTTTTTGAGTGACATCCCAGATTGGCAACCAAAAATAGCTCATTCGATAGAAGAAAAAATTCTGAACAAGTAGGCGTTTTCCAAATTTGCTTAATCGCCGAGACGTTCGAGAAAAATTTAATTTTAAAATGACAATTCGGCGTCATTTTCCGTCTGGTCCGCCATTTCGGCTTACTTGGGGGAGTGGCCTTGCTCGGCATGCTGACGTGGATTATTGGTAGAGTGCTTGCCTATCAAACTTTT